CCCCCCCCTAACCTACTTGTGCATCATGTCCTGCACGGCCTGCTTGATCTTGCTGAAGGTGGCGGTCTCGCTGCGGTTGTGGAGCAGGGCCACCACCGTGTCCATGCTGCGGAACATCTCGGCCAGAACTCGGTAGTGGAGCGGCAGGGTGAGGCCGGGGGCCACGGCCTGGGCCAGAGTGTGGTAGCGCTGGTAGGCCGGCCGCTCCACGCTGCTGGGGGGGGGGGGCACAGTTAATTCAATTCAATTCAAATTTATTTCTATAGCGCCACATCACAACAACAGTTGTCTCACAGCTTTCCAAACAGAGCAGGTCAGACCTACTCTGAAGTTAATTACAGAAACCCAACAATTCCCACCATGAGCAGCACTAGGCGACACAGGCAAGGAAAAACTTCCTTTAACGGGCAGAGACCTGGAGCAGAACCATGGCTAGTTAGCACGGGGCTGCACCCGGGACGGATTAAGGGTAGTCTGGGCCCCAAGGCAAAGCATTCCCCCCAAAAAAATAACAGCTAGCCTCTGTTTGGAGAATGAACGCTCCCCTTCACAGTTTGTAATAGGCACGGTCCAAAAAAGTTTAAGTGCTATGTGGACATTCGGAAAGGTTGACTGTAAATCCAAATCAATCATAGTTTTGAGCATTTTACTTGGACATTTTTCTTTTTCTCATATGAATGATTTGTATTGTATCAGTTCATCTGCCAGGCTCATGTTCAAATCTGAAGGGTATGCTGCAGCTAGTGAGTTAGCCTTTAAAGAGAGCTCGCTATTGGACATATTGTCAGGCATGAAAAGAACAAGAAAGAGCTTGGTTAAGTGTGTGTATGCATTCAAACGGTGATCAAGACAGGACCGGAGTTTGTCAATGACAACATTGAAAGTTTTGATCCGAAACTTATCCTTTCCTTTAAATGTTACACCTGGCTCTGCACTATCAGACATAATTTTAGCTTCTTTGTGCGCTGGAAGTCATGCCTGTACTCTTGGGAGACATGGTAAAACACACGTCTCATTTTATAATTAACACATCCCTAATCACAGGTGACACATTTGTTATTTGAAGTCTTGCACTGAGAGGACTTTGGTTTTCCTACTGACCTGTCTGCAGCCTTCTGGACCTCCTCCACCCCCCGCTCCTCCTTCCTCCTCTGGGCCTCCTCCTTCCTCCTCTGGACTCTGGCTGCCAGCTCTCTGGCCGCGGCCACAGAGGCCCTGGGAACCGTCGGGGGGGCATGGGTGGGGGAGGCTGGAGCAGGAGGTGAAGGGGAGGAGGAGGGGGCAGATCCTGGAGCCCCTTCTGCCTGCTTCTGGATCCTCTGAAGGCGAGACTTGAGGGCCGTGATGTCCTCCTTACAGAGAGCCTGTCAACCATTTAAAGAGTGGTTTAGTGTCTGATCAGGGTCCCCACTGTGGCCTGGTGTGTCCCTCTGTGAGCCCCACAAAGCTCAGAGAGCCCCAAAAAGCTCCCAGAGAGCCCCACAAAGCTCCCAGAGAGACCCACAAAGCTCCCAGTGAGACCCACAAAGCTCCCAGAGAAACCCACAAAGCTCTTAGAGAGCCCCACAAAGCTCAGAGACCCACTCAGGTCTAGTGTGGTCTAGTAGGGGTTCAGTTCTAGTGGGGGCTCAGGTCTAGTGGGGGCTAGTAGGGGTTCAGGTCTAGTGCAGGTTCAGGTCTAGTAGGGGCTCAGGTCTAGTGGGGGCTCAAGTCTAGTAGGGGCTCAGGTCTAGTAGGGGCTCAGGTCTAGTAGGGGC